GGCACCAACGTGTCCGCAACGATGATGTGCCTAGGCGAGTACTAGGTAGTGATAATCATGCTAGCTCCCTAGAACAACAGCTAGCACTGAATAAGTTGCGTTGGCTTGGGCACGTGCTACGTATGCCTGGTCACCGCTTACCTAGGATGGCCTTGTTTAGTCTGCTAGGTGTAGGGTGACGCAAGGCTCGAGGTGGAGAGAAGTTGACTTGGCAGCGGGAAATGAAGTCACTGACGACCAAACTGGGTGCCGTTGGTCCGTTTCGTCTTCCGGGCTGGAGTCCACGTGACTCGCCTTGTGCTTGGCTCGAGATTTTACAGGACATGGCTCGTAACCGACACCAGTGGCACGTCTGCTGCAGCCTCTTAATTGGATTGCCTGTTTAAAGTATGTTTGGTGCTGAGTTATCTGCGGGTAATGGCTGATTATGACGCGTGGCAGTGAAAGCCGCAAGGAAGCTGTCTCGCCGATGCCGCCTTATCTTTGCACGATAGCCAGCTGTTTGTGACGGTATGTTGTCTACACAAGGTGTAGGCGCCTTGACCCTGAATGTTTGCTTAGGTCATTAAGGTTTTCAGGTAAGTCCCCCTTCTCTCCCGCTTCTTATTCTTTATTTCATAGGTCCTCATGGTTGTATGGTAGCGAAGCATCAGTTCAAATAGCTGATGCACTGCAGTTTTTCATTGATTGTTGATTATTTAGTCCGGAGAACAACCGAACAACCTCGTCTGCACCCCTGAACTACAGATATGCCCGACAGTTGCCAGTTGCTAGGCTATCACAGCATACCGCCTACATTGATGAAGAATTGACACTGTTTACACTTCCAAACACTGTAAACTGTGTTACACCTAAACATTCTGTTTTTGTCGTGGTGTATGAACTACTGCACCGTCCAGTTACATTGGGGTACTTTTTACCGCCTTCAGCTAAAGCCCGTGGTTTGATCTTTAGTTGAGAAACGTATCTTGATGGCTATATAAGTAGATCTATGCAACCGAGTCGAAGTTACTGTACACGTAGTTGGTGTCAAATCCTCAACATGCGAGGCATCGTACTATTCTGTCTCTTTGTCTCCATACTTATGGTTTATTCCCGGTAAGTTATCTGTTTGAATCTTTACGTAATTGAACCTATATCGTCTATTAGAGCTGCACCAAGTGAAGAAAGCCGGGAGAAATTGGTAGGTTGACCAATCTAGACATATCCATTTTTCCTGGTTACAGCGCGACAGTGCGTCACGCCTTCGTGAAACGTTGGAAAAGGTCTTCCAGAATCTTCGAGAGAAGTTGAAGGATAAATTAGAAGCATATCTGGCTCAGGATGATTTGGGTGAGAAGCTGGCAGACGTGACCAAAATATGTAAGTATACTGGATGGTATCTTCATTTCATTTTCTTTGTAGTTCTCGAGCGTCTAAATCAAAGGTTGCAGAAGTATGTGGCCAAGTAGATGGTTGATAGTTAACATCAAGAGACGATTCTACCCTTCTTGATGTGCACTAGCAACAGCTTTGCTAACCCATCCACTGTACCAACCATTTAGCTTCACTGCAATACAGATTCTGATGTAAAAGTCGGTCATCTTACATCTTGTGCAATTCATTGGTAAAATCCGGTTTTTCTTCTGATGCGTACCCAAACACCCCATGCATGGCTGTTTGTACAAGGCATCTCGGATAGAATAAAACAGCCTACGGCCGCTTAAATGAGGCGGAAATGTAAGTGATCAAGACAACAAAGGGTTTTAGTGTAAAACAGCTTATTAGAACGTAGTAGGGAATTGTTGATATATTTTAACTCCGTGTGTCGAGGCCAGAATCTATGTGGCAGCTACTACACTTTCAAACAATCATGACACTATGGTTTCTGCTTACTGGAACTTAGTAGCACCTCGCATCTCCGCAGTATCCGACGGAATCGAAACTCACTAGATTTCTCTTACGAGACAATCACCAACTTGTCACCGCCGTCATTCTGTACTGGGGATGGGAGATCGTTAGGTTAAGGTGCGCTCATAAGCCGACAGCGACGCCAGGTGACCAAATTCTTTACCAAATGTTTCACCTAGCATCAGAAGCGTTCGGTAAAACACTTAACCAAGTGCTACTTTTCGCACATTTCGTTTCGCGCATGCAGCTATTTTTGTACAAATTCTCTCGATGGGTCGGAACAGTATTTAGCTACTTAATGTGTCATTCTCCTTCTACATTCCACAGACCGCAACCCGCGATCCCGCAATCATTTGCAGGAGTTCTGATCAAGAGGCACTTCAGGGTTAAGTGATAATTGTCAACCTGCTTGTTAATTTGCAACGCGTTAATATGTTCGAGACTGTGGCGTCTCAACTCAGGAAGACGGTCTTCAATTTCATCATTCTGTCACGTTTCGAGCGATTCTAATTCGCATTCAGCTCATGCTAGCAGTTCTTTAGTGATTGCTGCCGTTTCGTGGAGCCTAAACAAGTGTAACGGATAAACAATCTCAAAGCTAGGATCGACGCTATAGGGTGATGGAAAGAGTTGCGTGTGAATGGCTACCGAGCCACGATCAGCATTTAACCATTTATTCTAACCAGGCCGCGGATCCTAGATTGACCTCCAATGTGTACAGCTGACGGTTGCTGTTAGTTCAGAACCGTGTGTTGTTTTATAGGTAACAAATGACGAAATGCGGACATCTGCGAGAGGGCTACGTTGCTATTATACACTCTGAGATCGGTAGGGAATAAAAGCAACCAACTGTCATTATCTATGTGAAGCGCATCTAATAAATAAGGGCATTCTGGGTATGGTTTGGTCACTGACAATTGGCCTACTTGAGCTTTCTCACCATCAGCGAAGAACGCCGTTTCGTGTTTTTGGTTGCACGAATGAAACATGGTAGTTGTTGACAGAGTTTGCCTTTTTGAAAAGCGCGGTAAGAAGACGAAAGCTGATAGATGCATGCACATCGTATTCTTCCCTTAGTAACATTAATAATAACCAGTATGCACCTATGCACATAACTGTGGGTGTGACTAAATAGGCGGGAGGTGCAAAGTGAATGACAGAAATTCCACTCCGAGGTGCATAACCGCTTTACGCTTCCATCAGGCCTATTGGGATAGTCTCAGCGAAATGGAGGAAGCGGAGATAAAGGTGACGCGATACAGTTGGGAACACTGATCCAAACTCTATCCGGTGATGCGTGACCAGTAGGTGTTTACTTAATGAGGAGGAGAGCGGCCTGCGCAAGCACGTTTTCACGGGATAGGAATGCTGGTCAATTTCACTTTGAATCCACCTTAGCAAATGTTCTTTTTTATGGGAAGTCAAAGATCTATCGGTTTTGCCTATGTAACTGATTCTGCAGTTGCCTACATATTGGTATATACCGTGTGAGTTCATCCCGATTGGTTGAGCTTCCTTCGTCTGTGATTTTGTGGATTTCGGAAGCATACGCCGTAACAATGGTCCCCCTTATGTATGGTTGCTTTACCATTTAACACTGATGAGGTGTGGTCGAACTTTTGCACATGTGGTGACATAATGGATTGCACTCAGCTAGTTTTCGTTCCACATTTCTAGCGTCACCTTTGCTACCTAGGATTCCTAAGTGCGTCCTCATCAGCATAGAAAGAACAGTCATCTTCTCTCGAGTCTCAACCTGATGGTCGAATATGTTTTACGATTCCCTAAAAGTGTGTAGTTGTTGATGGACCTCCGCGCACTTTAACCTCATTATAGTGCACAGTGCTAATGTTCCATGTTTAGCTGTTTGATACAGATTGCAAGTATCAATAGATCCAAGTTCAACTGGTACCCCGGAGTTGAGACGCCACCTAGTGTTCTTATAAGTTTGGTTGACAAAATCATGTATCTACCTGTTGCTTTGCCTGGAGGAATCAAGCCATCAGAAGAAACAACAATGTAGATTGCTGACGTAGTTTGGTGAGTGAATGATTATATTTGGTTACTAGTTTGAAAAAGATTTTGTTAGGCTTTCCTTGCCTTCAGCTCTCTACTTCGTGATCTTATCTACATGGTGACAGGACACAGAGCTAGCTCTGAAGTAGGACTCCAGAGTCCGTCACAGCTTTATAACTTCTGAAAAATTAGTTATCTGTTTATCGCGGCTCTAGACCACAGTCAAACCAAAGTGTTTTGTTGCTGCCCTGCTACGCACCTGGTAATAGTTGAATTACGTGTGGCTAGCTGTCGCAAATCGGTGAGGAACAGGCGGTCGGAGATGACTTTTACTGCATCTAGTTGAGCCCATAACCGTTGAATTGTTGCAAGGGGGAATAGTTAGCCCTTGAGCAGGGATAATGATCAAATTGTTATAGTTCCTTTGTAACATGGGTCTACCAACAGGGAACAAATTCAACATGCGGCTTTTCAACAACTGGGTCGGATGTTTTTCGGTAGTGATGGTCATGTGTGAGAGATGAGCATTATTCGTTAAGCCAAGGTATCTCGAGGTATGTGAACCGTACACACGGATAAGCTTGACTGAGTTAAATGTCACCCAAAGGGCTCATTGCAAACAAACACCGGAGATGTACTGCTAAGTTTCAGGTTTTTATCATCAATCGGAACCGGAAAGAGTCACTCCGTTCGTAGTAAGACCGCATGAGCAAATCAAAAGTCGAAACATGGATGAGCCGCCCTATATCGTAGTCTACTGTCGGTCCTGCAGGTCCACGGCCGTTACCCATGGCTTTGGGGCAAAAGCTGTTGGCATCCGAAAGTTATAGGATACGAACCCGGTAGGGGTCCAAGGAAAGCGCACCAGTGACGAGACCCAGGAGTTCGATACGGGTATCTGATGTTTTTCCAGACGTGTCGAAACCGGTTAACTGAGAGGAGACTATGACGAACTACCTCTAACATGCTCATGGTGTTCCATGGTTTGGAATGAGTTGTCCACTCTGAGTTTGTTCTTCCTGAGCAAACAGTAAATGTGCGTTTTTTACGACCAAGCACTTGAACAAGTTCGTCAACGAGTCCATCACGTCCTTCCTGGGATTGCGAAAAGCTGAGTTTTCCACCATGACAAGGCGTCGAGCCACACCGCATTAGCGATCTGGGAGTTTCTGACCAAGAAACAAATTCCAACCTTGCAACATGCTACATACAGCCCAGATTTGTTTCTGTACGACATTTTCTGTTCCGCCGGCTAAAGAATTGCATGAAAGGACATCATTTTCAGACTATTCCAATCATTCAAGACGATACAATGAAGTACCTTCGCAGAGAAAGAGTTGCAGAGGGCCTACGAACAATGGAACGTACCCTGACAGCGTTCTTCAACATCACAGTGGTCCTACGTGGAGTGTTTTTAAATCTAATCCGTGTTCTCATTAATACCTTGTCTTTGCCAGTATTCATCCAATTATTTTCAGGACAAATCACGCAAAGGGTTATTTAATGTTTCTAGCAATAATAACCTCGACCATACGCGGATAAGCGATTATTTTACATGAAGTGCCTTCATGGTGTCAAGTTTCTAACAGAAATTTGGAGGTAGGAACCATATACTAGCAGTAGGGCCGCTCGCTACTTACACGGTTAGACTACAAGAGTTGCTCTCTAGCACAGCCCTCTATAACCACATCATCCATGTCACCATGTTCAGAACGGCGAATAAGCTATCGATCTTAAATCTATTGCACCGCAAAGAGGAGCTCATAGTTGATGGGCTAAAGGTACGCAGTACCTTTGGTTAAAGCGATCACGTGACTTCACTGTTCGATTACATTTACTATGCCGAGTACCCCGATGCAGAGCGCGGAAAAATGCAATCTATTACGCTTTATCACGTTCTGTCCGCATTCGGTGAAAACGTTTGTGTACATTCATAACTCATTGCCCCTAGAAATAGCCTGGGAACATTCCAGAAAACCTTCACGTCAGTATCACAAATGCATCACAGCCAAAGGCTCGTGTCCATCGCGACGAGACTGGACCTTAACGTGGTGTGATGGTTTGTGTGCCTCAGTGATCCATTGAACTATGCTGGGTGGTGCTTTTTGCACTTTCAGAGCCACTCATACCAGATTGGTCAATGGTTAAAGGCCAGACAAGCCCAGTCTCCTGGCCCTGTAGTTTGGGGGTTGGAGTGAGGGTGGCTCCTTACTCTATAAAACGGGCGCTCCGTAGTCTAATGCCAAAACCCCGCTGCCTTGTGGTCAGGTTTTTGAACCAAAGGCTTTGGTTGAGAACCCTAATGGTTCTCCTGTCTAGGCTTGAGCAACCTGACAGTATTCTGTCCATGCAACACAATGAACCTTTCTTCTAACAATTTCTTTATGTTCTGACCGTCGCAGAGGATAATAAGCGGCACCCTATCTGCTGCATCGAGTAAGGTGGATAGGAGTATGGATACTACTGCTCAGACCTTTCTGTCTTCGTATCCCCCTTGCATTTTTTCATCCTTATTGTCCCGCTCCAACTTTGCTTTTATCCCCCATTTTCAACTCCCCAGTTCTTGGCCCGCTCTTACTTGCTTCAGTAGTCGCTTGTCTTCCAGTTTCAACTCACACGCAGTCGCAGCGTGTCGCTCCAATCCAGTCAACAAGTCCATGTTCAACCAAACAGACGTCAGTTCATCCGTTTTCCTTTAGAGTCCTCGCGTC